GACACGGGTGGTGGTCAGCGCGGTACTGTGTAGAACCTCGAGCGGTCTCCTAAAGCAGCCGATATGGGTGGTGCTCGGCGTGGTACTGTGTGGAACCTCGAGCGGTCTCCTAAAGCAGCTGATATGGGTGGTGCTCGGGATGGTACTGTGTAGAACCACGAGCGGTCTCTTAAAGCAGCCGATATGGGTGGTGCTCGGCATGGTACTGTGTGGAACCGCGAGCGGTCTCCTAAAGCAGCCGATATGGGTGGTGCTCGGCATGGTACTGTGTGGAACCGCGAGCGGTCTCCTAAAGTAGCCGATATGGGTGGTGCTCGGCGTGGTACTGTGTGGAACCTCGAGCGACTCGAGGATGACGAGGGACACAGGGACGAGCGACTGTTTCCTGTTAGCGATTAGCGGGACTGGCTTTAGCATAGGACCCACTTTGCCTGAAGACAGACCGGCTCGGGTGACTCACTGAGTGCACCTGGGAAGACGGCGCACGTCTTTGCAGAGTCCCGAGAGTGAGACTGGTTGTGTAAATATTAAAGAGACGTGTAGGTTGCTATGGTGATTAACGAGTCAATTAGAGTGCAGAGCCCGACGGCCAATCCATTATGAATTATTATAATGTTCTGAAGACGCCGGCATGACTTATTGAGTCGATTGCAGGCCTGGTTTCATTACCACAGGAACACAAGACGCACAGAAATAATGGTCATGCGTTTAAACTCTTAAATGCAGAGGTGGGGGGAACGACTGTATCAAAACTCACGAAGTACAGCATCTCCGTCACGTCTGTGATCGCCACCATCGGACGCAAATCAGAGGCTTCGGGTGGCAGGTTGGGCCGTGCCTACTGGAAACTCAAACCATAATATGACAGGAAAAAATGGAATGTTTCAAAGTCAGCAGCCAAACAGGTACAGGACCGTCAGATTAAATACCCTAAACGTTCCCAAAAGATGTTCTTGGCACAGACTTCGGTTGGCTCAACACGACGGCGCTTAATTGACCCGCCCAATTAGAAGCGCAAATCATATTTCGCACGAGATCCTTAATGAACGCTTGGCAAGGTGGACGCACGCCAGACTGCCTCAGCAGGAGCGAGCGAGCGAGGCTGTCTCACACGCTGGCGTTTCTGCCGCTTTAATGACCGCCTCGCCGGGGATGCAGATCCATCGCCAGACCCAGACGGCGCTAAAAACATCAACAAATTAAATGTTTTAATGCCCCCCAAGCAAAGAGAGCTGTCCGGCCTGGTGACTTTACTCAGAGGCCAGACAGGGTAGATTCCCATTTACTTCTGATGGATGTCACCGGCGTCCCAGGATCGAGGAGAAGGCGAGAGACACACATGTAAATAAATCTGCTCTCCTTCCAGGCGATCAGAAGCCCTGGTTTGTCTGAATGAATGGCTCTGTTAGGCCGCAAAATCGGAGGGGAAGTTTATCGCGTTTCAGGCCGATAAATCGGAGCAGGACGTGAGAATCGGAGACAGGGGAGAAGTGAACGTGAGCAGTAAGAGCCTCAGCAGAGTTTTCCATTCCATTTTTGGATGGAAACCTGTGGTGATCCTCTGTGGGACGTTCTCGTGTCTGGTCAGCACACGAGGAACTACCCTGTTTGCTAATTATGGTTCCTGGCTTCTCCACTGCCCCCGCTCTGTGAATCCTGCTGTTCCACAGGGGGTCGGAAAGCTGACCGGTTGCCAGGTGCATGAATCGCTGGCACCTCAAGGGACTTACATCAAACTGTCATGTGATCAGTGATGCAGACTTCAGAGCCAAAGGTAGCCATATCCCAAGTAGTGGATTGCAATCTGCATTAGATTCTGAATACATTTATTTATGTAGCAGGTCAGTCCCCGGAGCAACCGGAGGTTAAGTGCTATGCTCAAGGGCCCAATGGTGAAAACACAATGTCGACTCAGGAACTTGAACCAGCAACCTTCTGTTCATAGGCACATTGTGCTAACTCACTGAGCCACACAACCCCACAACATCAACGTAAATATTGGAGAGATCCCCCGTCACCATACCTATTCTATGTCAAAGCCTCAACCACAAACATCTACCCATGTGTG